CGGCTGTCTGCTTTGCTTTCTCTATCAAGACTCACAGAGTGTTTTTGTTTATTCAGTAAGTATTCACCAAGGTCCGACTGGACCGAGAGTAGACTGTGTCTGAAGCAGAAAGTTGGGCAGGGAGGAGGAGGTGTGCAGGAGATTGAGAGGCTCAGAAAGTGTCCGAAGTCACAGGAGACACTGTGAACAGAAAAGACAAGAGATTGATTGAAGCAGAAAAGCAGACATACAAGCAAAAGGCCATGCAGAAAATGAAGCCGATAGAAAGATCCCACATTTCTGAACCTTTTCCCACTATTCTTGGCAAAGCTTCCATCTAGTAATTGGAAGCACCAAGTTTAAACTTGAGTGGCAAGAAGTTGGAGAGAATATAAAGAAGAAATTTTAAAATTATTACCAGGATCTGCAAAAAGATTAAAGGACTAGCTTTACTTCTGTGACAGAAAGATAACTGAATAAAAACCAAAAAGGTACGCTTTTTTTCCATCTAAAAAACACTCATGTTTGGTAATCTTGAAATGAACCTTCTCTCATCTAACAAGTGACCGAAAGCCAAAGAAAACCAGTTAACATGATTTAATTCTATTTGGGATTTTAGTTATTTTTCTTTTTAATGTATGAAATATTAATCACCTTGGAAGATAAGTGATCTCGCCTTTCAGAGCATTCATCACACCACTTAACACAAATGATGTTTTTGGCACCAGATTCGGTACAGTAGATGTGGAAACTCAGACAATCTTGGAAGAGGGTGTATCCACTGGGTGAGAGATTTTTTTAAATGATAAAAACGAGACAGAGAAGTGAGTGAATTAAGCAGCGGCGCCTTCTGCAGAGTAAAGAGGGGCTGAGTAAGGAAAGCCTTGGGAAGAAACACGCAGCGTCAGAGATGAGAGGCCATCGTCACAGTGTGTTTCCACTGAGCATCTCCGACGACGTGCTTGCTGTAGCACTCTTGGGAGGTAGGTGGCAATGGCTCACTAGAGAATTGCCCTTGTCATGGTGAGTGATCATCCATTGAAAGGAAAATGAAGTGCCTGATGACCTGAGTCTAAGGAACTCAGGGAAAGAAGATGGCCTGTTACCGAAATAGACCCAGAGGCCTACAGTCCCATGATGAGATTGCCCCAAAGTAGCTCAGATTGGGATGGTTGAGGAATATCGGCATATCTGTCTCTCTGTTAAATCTAATGTTCTCATACTAGAAATACAAAACAACTTTGGTTTTAGTTTTCTCTTTTCGATGATTGATTTTAACCACGCCCCATCCGACCTCTCTTACCTGTTAATGACATCTCAGCCAGATTCCGCAACTTTCTGCTGGTTTTCGTCAATGAAAATGTACTCTAGACCATTTTAAAATTTCAATCTCAGGTCTGATTCAAAGTCTTCCCTCCCTAAGTCAGATTAGATTCAGGACTTTTGACGCATCACTTTAGCCTCTTCCCTATCTCTTCTCAACCCCAGCATTAGGGACAAAAAGGTGTTTGGGGTGTTCTCTGCATACCTGGAAAGGCCATGGCACCCACCCTGAGCGTCTCTGGCACACAGTGGTTTCCACCAGTGCCTTTTGTGATAGGTCTTCACCTACTGACTTTCTAGTGGGCCCGTGAGTGGGCTGTTCAAAGGGCCCTGGGGAGCCTCCTCATCCTCGCATGGCATGGGTGATCTGGATAGAACTTCTCTCCTATAGACTATCTCACCCCAAACACTGCACACTCCATAAAGCCAGGGCTTCTGAAGGCAGGTGCAACCTCCTCATTCTCAGCCCTCTCCTTTCTGTCAGCCTCGGGGTGGACACTGGAGGAAGCAGCGATGTCTTGGTCCAACGTGATTCTGCTACCCTTTGTAGGTTCTGAAGTGGGAAGGTATCTGATGCTTTCAGCAGGTGAAAATTCATCAGAGGCTCTCTTTTGTAATGATGGTACACCACCCCCCTCCCCAATGTGGGCCCTTGTAACTGGTTTGGGAATACAGGAAAGTCTCATTCAGCATTCTGCTATAATGGCATTACATCTTCTGATAGCTACGTTTCTCTACATTTTCTGACAGACCTTGGTTGAATATGGAGCAAACGTCACCATGCAGAACCACGCCGGGGAAAAGCCCTCCCAGAGTGCTGAGCGGCATGGCCACACCCTGTGCTCCCGATACCTGGTAGTGGTGGAGACCTGCATGTCCCTGGCCTCTCAGGTGGTTAAATTAACCAAGCAGCTGAAGGAGTAAGTGTCATGTGTGGTCCCTAAGAACGGAGTCAGACTCAGAATAGGTTGAACCCAGGTTCAGAGGGTAGGATTCACGCTTTCCATGCAGAAGCCCTGGGTTAGGAGGATTGACGGTGAAGTGCGTGACTGTCAGGCGGCTCACCACAAGATCAGAAATTCAAACCCACTGGCTGCTTCCTGTGGAAGAAATGAGGTTTTCTTCTCCTGTGAAGATTTACAGCTTTAGAAACCGGACGATAAGTATAGTTCATTAATAATATGACGTAGCCTTTGATCCCCTGTCTCCTTGCTGAAACCAGAAGAAAGTTACTTCCATCCTATTCTCGTAGAGCAGGGGTGGGGACCCTTTCATCTGCCATGGCCATCTGGATAGTTATAACATTATTCACGGGCATAAAAAATGATCAAATTAAAAATTAGCCTGTTTTACTTGGTTAAGCATTTAATTAATGTGTCCCTGTGTGATGGCTGGCACGACTTTTCTTTGGATGACCCGTGTGATTTTAGCTGATGTTGATGATGTCATGGGCCTTATACAGGCCTCGTGCCAGACGTTCACCACTCCCCTCCTCTAGAGACACACACTTCTCCACCCCCCACCCCCACTTCTGCCTCCCACCCCATACCTGGAATAATATCTTTATTCCGTTCAGGTTTTTACTTATTTTTTTAATTAAGGTGGCAAAATAAAGGAGTTATCACTCACTCATTAAAAGTTCCTTCAACTGAAATTATCCTTGAGGTCACCTTCAACTGGAATTATCCTTGAGGTCATCTTTTTGCTAAATATCAGATTGACTCAAAATAAAGAATATCACCATGAGCAATGAGCCCCTTTAAAAAAATAAAAGTATCTACATGAGATCAAGTGTCAAAAATGGGGACATGGGGAGGACAGGGGACAGAGAATCTAGAGTGTGGGAAATGATTCATCCTGAACGGACCCATCGAGAATAATGACACATGGTAGAGACAAGGTACTCAGTCTCACTGATGGTTTGTGTAGCCATTGTTAAATAGGAACCCAATTTTATGTGAAAATCTTCACCTTAAATACAATAAGATATTGTAAATAAATTAGCTCAGAGCATCCTCTGTCCAGTTATACACACATTAATAATTTAATAAATTATCTTGCCACTGTGAACACTTTGTACATATGTCTTTATGCGCATGTATATTTCTTCTAAAGATACATTTCCAAAAAGTGAATTTGTAGAATCCAAATATTCCCTGCTATCAAGTTGATGCTGACTCATAGTGACCTTTATACAGCAGTGCTTCCCAAAGTGGATGGTACCATCCCTGGAGGTTGGGGGAAATGATCCAGGGGAACTGCAAAAAACAGATACCTATATTTTATCCTAGATTAGGGGCTATAGTACAAAAATCTTCATTGTGGAGGTGGGGTCAGAACGAGGTGCAGAATAATTTTTTTTTCCCCTGAAAAGAGGGTGGTAGGTCAAACAAGTTTGGGAATTTATGCTATAAAGGGTTTCCAAGGTTGCAAATATTTTCAAGAGCAGATAACCTTATCTTTTATCCAAGGAGTGGCTGGTAGGTTTGAACCTTGCAGGTAGCAGTCCAGCAGTCATCAAAACCAAGGCTCCCAATGGAAAGCAAAGGGCATGCACACATAAAAATGTACATAGGCATTACCTACTTGCTGCTGTTTCCGTTAACTGACATTGCACTGTCTCTGAGCCATGATGAACTCATGCACAATAGAATGAAATGCTGCCTCATTCTTTACCAAATTCTTGTGATCAATTGCAACTGGGAGCATTGTGATCCGTGGAGTTTTGGGGGCTGGTTTTTGTTTGTAGATTGCCAGGCATGTCCTCCTAGTTTGTTTTCGGGTCCACTGAAGGCTGCCTGGCAGCACAGCAACCCAGACATCTCCACTGACAGGTGGGTAGTGGCTCTGCAGATTGCCCAGTAGCCTTCCCGAAGTGATGCCATCATGCCCCAGGGTCCACGCTGTCAAGTACTATGTAGACATTTCTAGAGAGGAACTTCTAAATGATCCAGTCAAATACTTTTGTAAAAGGCTCATATTCAGGAAAAACAGCACAAACATTCTCCAGTCTCTGAACCATGGAATCTGATCAGCTTTCATGAGTTACAATTGCTGTCTTATTGGCAAATTCTTCCAGGTCAGGGTCTTGGCAACTCACTCTGTTGATGCTGGGATAAAATCCACACATATTAATAGCCAACAGTTCTTCAGTTCTCTCCAGAGCCGAATGCTGTCAAGTTTTTCAGAGGTGCTTAGGCCATTGACAAGATAAAATACGAGGGGTTATGTTATATTGTAATATTTTACTTTCTGTGTGCTTCAGTGAACTTGACAAATCTAAAATTGAATAGAGAAATTGACTTTGTATAGATAGCCACAGAGCACTCGGCCCGTCAGGCCCCAGGGTACCAGGAACCCACATAAGTAAAGCAGAGAAATGGAAAAGAACGCCTTTTCATCTCAGTATTCTCAATAGTAGGTAGTCTTGAGTGCCTTTACCTACTAGAATACCATTACCAACTCTTTAGAGTGAGCAAATGTGGTTGCTATTTAGAAATGGCAACTTTGGGCTCTGTTGTAGCACTAAGCTATGAGCCTAGGCATGTACTCATATATGTTCCTTGTGCAGTGAAAGTCTCCCTACCATTCTGTCATTTGTCATGTGTCTCCCAACTTCTTCAGTCTGAAATTCATCTGATATGCAGTAAAGATGCATTCACAATTACGGCGATAGGAATGAGAAAGCTGGAGAGAAAGAAGAATGTTAATGAGTTGAAAAATATTGGCTAGGTGATAGAAATGAAAAAGGAGATAACAGAATGTTGCAAGTCATTTTCAAAACCATGTATGTTTACTTGGCCAGATGGGCTATACAGGAATCTAATCTACTGTATCACTGGGAAGAAACAATGGAGAAGCTCAGTATCATCAGCCAAAAGCAAAGTCAGGGGCTGACTATGAAGCAGACCACCAATTGTTGAGGTTGAAGTTGAAGAAAATTACAAGTCCATGAAAGGCAAAATATGACCTCAAGTATATCCCTCTGAATTGAGAGACCATTTCTAGAACAGGCTTGACAAACTGAACACTAAGGACTAACGACCAGACAAGTTGTGTGTTTCCACACATGAAGAACATCCTAAATGAAGTCTGCAGGAGACCACTTAAAATACAGGAAATAAAGAAGGGACAAAAGTGGATTTTAGAAGAGACTCTGAAACTTGCTCTTGATCATAGAGTAACTAAAATAAAGTAGAAGAAATAATGAAGTAAAAGAGCTAAACAGAAAATTTCAAAAGACAGCTTGAGAGGCAAAGTAGAGCTTTATAATGAAATGTACAAAGACCTATAATTAGAAAGTCTAAAAAAAATAACAAGCTCAGCACAACCAATAGAAAAGGTAGAAAAAAAGTCAAGCATTGAGTTGAAATATTGAAGGATTCCAGGGACAAAACATTGAATGATGCACAGGAACTATCAAAAGAAGATGAAAGGAATACACCGAACCACTGTGCCCAAAAAAAAGGTGTTCAACCAACAATTATTTCAAGAGGCACTATATGATCTAGAACCAATGGTATTGAAGGAAGAAGTCCAAGGTGCACTAAAAGCATTAGCAATAAATGAAGGCTCCTGGAATTGATGCAATACTGGAAGCACTCGTTAGTCTATGTCAAGAAATTTGGAAGGCAAACTAATGAAGGGATCCATATTTGTGTCCATTCCAAAGAAAAGTAACCCAACAGAATATGGAAAATACCAAGTAATAAAGTAAAAATTTTCTGAAGATAATCCAAATTGATACAGCATTGTCTCAGTAGGGAGCTGCCATAAATTTAAGCTGGATTCTTAAGAGGACGTGGATTGAACAAAGGCCATTAATAGCCTCACATATACCAATGAGGCTACCTTACTTGCTGAAAACCAAGACAGCTTGCTGAAAGTAAAAACTACAGGCGTTAGTGTGGATCAAAACCCAATATTAAAACCAAAAAGGCTAAATTCTCACTGTGAGTGAAGCAGGCCTCCCCATCCGCTGCTGGAGGGACTGTGACAAGACAGCCCTGTGCAGCAGAAATGGCCACACCTCTCAGAGTGCTATGCACAGCACCTCGGTGACCCGGTTCCACTCCTGAAATGTGTTCCTACACAAACCAGCTGGCACGTGCTGTCTGCGTGCGTGTGCTCCCCCACTGGACAAGATGCTGTCCGAATGTCCATCTCCAGAGGGCAAGTCAGGGATGGCTCATCCAGACTGCGGGGACCCCCAGTCGTTAGAGGAAGGATGGCCCTGGACGCAGTCATGACCTTGGAGACTGAGGGCCCGAGGAAAGCATGTGGGCTTCGGATTTCCCCAGGGTAAACCACCACCACCATCAGGGTGTAGCCAGGATGACAAAAACCGCAAAATCACATCTCCGCCCAAACAGAGGAGCCCTGGGGTGGGTAGAGGGTACACAGTGGGCTGCTGACCTCCAGGTCAGCGCTTCCAAACTACTGGGCACTCCGTGGGAGAAAGAGGAGGCATTCTACTCCCGTCAAGGGTCACGGTCTCAGAAACCCACAGGAACTGTTCTGCTCTGTCCTACAGGGTCACTCGCCATGACTCAGACCCAGGGGATGGCAGTGCATGTGTCCACACGCATTTGACATCAAGGAAGCGACTGGCTTCATTCCAGTCAGTTCTGACTCATGGCGACCCCAAAGGACAAAGTGGAACTGTCCCTGTGGGGTTGTGAGACCTTCAGTGGTCCTGGGAGTGGAAAGGCCACTTGTCTTTCTCCTGACAGAGCAGCTTGGCTCGTGGTTTCGAGCTGCTAACTTTGTAGCGAACAGCCCGACACGCCCCTTACTGCCCGGAGGATGCTCTTTTTTGCCTTTTGGAATTTCCACAGTCAGCAAGTCCTTGAGTCACATGGGATCCACCTATTTAAATAAAAAAACAAAGGTTGCTGTGCAAAAAAAAAACAATCCCCCAACTGGACCAGCAGATATGATAGAGAAAAGATTAAAGTTGCCAGGGATTTCATTTTACTTAGAACCACAATCAATGCTCATGAAGTAGCAGTTAAGAGAACTCATGGAAGCAGCAGTCAAGAGATCAGACGCCATACTGCGTTGGTTCAATCACCTACAAAGGGCAGAGTGTTATATCATTGGGGTCACCTTCTTGAAGTTGCAGTATATGTTTCTTTGCTTTTTGGTGTGTGAAAACCAGGACCAATGACCCTATAAATTCAGCAAGTGGAAGAAGGGTTTTGGTGAAAGGGGACACAGAGGTGAGGGTGGAGGGAAGGGGTAACAATGCCAAGGAGAATATCAATGCCAAATAGAAAAACATAGTTGGAAACTGATTGTGGTAGCAAATGCACAGTTCTGCTAGACATGTTTGAACTATGGAATGATTAATATATGTCTTAATCCCAATCAATAAAAAGAGCCTCTTCAAAGTGTTGAAAAGCAAAGACTTCACATTGAGGACTATGGTGCACCTGACCCAAGTTATGATAAATTCACCCACATTATATGCATGTGAAAATTGGCCAGTGAATAAGGAAAACCGGAGAAGAATTGATGCATTTGATGCACAGTGTTGACAAAGCACACTGAAAGTACCATGGACTCCCAGGAGAGCACACAGATCTGTCTTGGAGGAAGTACAGCCAGAACGCTCCTTAAAGTCAAGGCTGATGAAACCTCATCTCATGTACCGTAGACACGTTATTCGGAGAGACCAGCCCCTGGGAAAGGACATCATGCATGGAAATGTAGATGGCCAAGGAAAAGGAGGAAGACATTCGGCGAGATGCATTGATGCAGTGATTGCAGCTATAGACTCCAACATAACAGGTGTGAGGACGATGCCAGGCCAGGCAGTGATTTTTTTCTGTTGTACATAAGGTCACTCTGAGTCAGAGACAACGTGAGGGCAATGTGTTAGTCCGGGTGGCCTAGAGAAACAAATTCATAGACACGCACATGTGTGTAAGAGAGAACTTGATATAAAAGAGCAAGTGTATATTAAGAAAACATCCCAGCCCAGTCCAGATCAAGTCCATAAGTCCAATATTAACCCATATGTCCAATACCAGTCTGTAAATTCTTCTTCAGACTCACACAACACATGCAATGACATTGAGTGCAGGAAGATCACAGGCCAGTGGGTAGAAAGTCTTGTGGATCCAGTGGCAATGGAAGCATCTCAGCACTGGCAGGGGTCTCCACGTGGTTTCTCCAGCTCCAGGGCCATCTAGAGTAGCTCCATGTATCTTGTCAACAGGAATGTCTCACAGGGAGTGACGGTGTCCTGCCTCCAGTGAACAATTTATCTCCGTTGTGCCTCCAAATGAAGTCATCAAGCTGCGGCATGATTGACAGGCCAGACTTCACGCCTTCCTCAAGTTGACAGATTATATAACTGCCACAGTCACCAAAAAATAGCAATCCATTATTATGGTCATTATTCCTTTAGCATTTAAATAGTATCAAAACCAAAAAACCCAACTCATTTCCGTACAGTGAATGCCAGCTCACAGGGACCTATATAGGACAGAACAGAATGACTCCTGTTGATTTCTGAGAGTATAAATCTTTAAGGGAAAAAAAACCTCATTTTTCTCCCGCAAAGTTGCTGGTAGTTTTGACTACTGACCTTTCAGTTAGTCCAACATCATTCTTTTCAATTCAGACTGAGCTTGCCTCTAAGTAATGGGATTCCAATCATCAGCCAACCAAATTGCTCTGAAATAATTAACTTTTAAAGATGTCGTAATTAACTTTAAGACACTTGAAAATCCAGTAAAAGCATACCATTATTTCCCATCATCTGTTTTATCCCTTCACTAAATATTTTTCAAAAACTTGACATGTTATACTAACTAGCAAAGTGGGAATAAAATAATACTCTAATGCATTTTGGGGTTTTTTTGTTTGTTTCTAAAAATCCAGTCTATGGTCTAATGCAACATTTTATTAATAATGTTTTATTAGAATATAGCCACACATTCAGTTGTGCTATTTCCTAGGGTTACAGTGACAAAATTAAGTAGCAGCATTATTAGTAGATTTCATGCTGCAGCAACAGAATTGACTGCGGACGAGATCAAGGGGTTCATAAGCCTGATGTATTTGACCCTTACGAAAAATATAACTGATTCCTGCTATAGACCATGACATTGTCAGCAGGTAAATTTGCCAGAATGAAGAAGATAAGTGAAAACAGACTTCTCTGGTTTTAGGGATGGAATGTTAGGACTGAGAATGACCACTTCTGGAAAACAAACAAACAAACAAACAAACAAACAACAAAACCGGAATCTTTGCTTGGGGCTTCTGATGGAGTCTGAGCAGAACTTGCCATCGCAGAATGTCATTGGGCTGCCAACCGTTTCTGAGTGTGGGAAGTAACACTTGGCAGGGAGGACCCGGAGCTTCCTCAAGCCAGTATCTAAGGTTCAGCAGTGGTTCTAAGAACATTTGTAACTCATTCATTTAATTCCACGAGAATTCAGGAGAACTGCCAGCATGTTTGATGCTAATGGGATTCCTTTTCTATTGCTGCGACGACAAATTACAGCAACCTCTGGGTCTTAAAGCAACACACATTTATTATCTTGGAGTTCTGCAGATCAAGCATCTGTTATGGATCCTGCCAAACTAAAATCCAAGTGCCAGCGTGTTGTACGGGGGAATTTTTAACCCATGAGTTTTTTAAGTACACCCCTCCCCCACCCCCACCACCGATATTCCTTTCTGGTGGCTCTGAATATGAGGCCATTTCTGCTTATGGGGGTTGGTGGTAGAAGCAGTACGTTGTGGATATGGGAAAAGGTCTTTTATTTATTATTTTTAATGGTTGTAAACTGAGTCGTTTCCAGCTTCTGGAGCCTGCTGCTTTTCTTGGCGGATGGCCCTCTGCCTCCACCTTCAAGAACAGCATCTACGTATCAAGTCTTTCTCACAGCTTGAATCTCAGACCTAGCCTTCTTCCTCTTACCCTTAAGGATCTGCATGATTATAGCGGACCCACTTGATCATCCAGGATACAGCCTCCTTGTTTTAAGACCAGCAAATGAGCAACCTTAATTCCATCAATAACCTTAACTGCCTTTTGTCATAGAAGTTAACATGGTCTTGGGTTTAAGGGATTCTTCTGTAGACATCTTTGAGGGACCATTACTCTGCCTATCACACTAATAATAACCAAACTCCAACCAAATCAACTGCCATTGAGTCCGTTCCAACTCATAGCAGCTCCCTGTAGGGTTTCCCACACTAAATCTTTCTGGGAGAAGAGATCCTCATCTTTCAGAGTCAAGTAGGTAACTCTACATTCGTGTAAAGTCAGAAATTCTATAATCATTAATAGGGTTTTCTTAATGGGTGGTAGATTTCTTTAACATGCCATTTTTAGCACATTGTTTTTAAACTTTAAACCATGTTCTGATAGACATGCTATATTTCTAGAGGATATGAAGTGTTGCCACACATTTCCTTCTATAATAAAATACAGTTTTATGTAAAATAGATAGTTTCACTTTTATCTTAGCCAGCTAGTTAGCTATTACAGAAATATTGCAAGTAGCTGGCTTTAGCTAACCAAAAAAGAAAATTATATTTTATTACACTTTAGGAGGCTAAAAGTCCAAATTCACAGCCCTGGCTTTACGGGAAGGCTCACTCTCTTTCTCTGGGTTTTGTGGAGAAGCCCTCCTCTCTTTTTTGGCTTCTGCTCCTTGACTCCTTAGTGATCCTCATGTGACATGGCATCTGGCTTTCCCTAGGTCTTTGTACATGCGTGCGTGCTTGCTGCACCCTGGTGGTACAGTGAGCTTAAGTGCAAGACTGCTAACTACCAGATTTGTGGTTCAAATCCCCTGGCAGTCCCAGGAGAAAGATGAGGTGGCCTGCGCCAGTGAATATGTACTGTCTCCGAAGCGCTCTGAAGCAGTGCTCCTCTGCCCGGTGTGGCCACTGTGAGCTGCAGTACACGCCATGACAGTCGGTTTGTCGACTTGCTGGCCTCCTTGATCTGCTCTCGAAAGAGAGTGTTTTAAGACACACCTTGCAGTACACACCCTACACTAATATTCACTTATTCACATAACAGAAATCCTACTCCAACATGGTATTATAACCACTGTATAATAGGACTCACACCTTTGTGGGAGGTGGGCGCATAATTCAATCTAGAGCAGTTCTGATGATTAATTTTTTTAAATATAAGCCAGGTATTTAAAAATAGTAAGTACAATTTTGGAGTGCATATTTGTACATATTTTTTCTATTTATATAAATTCATGTATATATTCTTTCTTATATATACAGATAAAAAAATTAAAAAGAGGTCACTGTGAGTCTATTCCAACTCCAAGCACCCCTACAGGGCCTAGCAGAACTACTTCTGTGGATTTCTGAGGCTAAAAATCTCTACAGGAGCAGAAAACTTCATCTTTCTCCCACAAAGCAGCTGGTAGTTTTGAACTGCTGACCTTGCAGTTAATACCTCAACTCATAGCACACTAGGCCACCAGGGCTCCTGGAGAGATATATAGCTAGACAGTTTTCCTTAAAAAATGAGATTATACTCCACATAATATTTTATAGCTCCCATTTTACTTATTAATCTTGTCAAGAAAGCCTTATTTTAATGTCACTAGATGTCTGAATTTTATTATTATTTTAAATAAATGCTATATATTAAAGATCAAAATTGATTTACTCAGTCCTTATTAGTGAGGATTTAGGTTGTTTACAGATTTTCACTACTGTAAATCACAAATGTCTGTTTAGGTACTTTTGGTTGGTTCCTTAGGAAAATTTCTGAACTGTGAACCTAAAGATTATGCCTATTTTTAAGGCTTTTGAACAGTTATTGCAAGTTATCATTTTAAAATACAGAAGTATACTCCTTTGTCATAGTAGCCATGCATTAAAGGGTTTGTGTATTTCTCCCCCAGACAGACAGTAGAACGTGTCACACTGCACAACCAACTCCAACAGCTTCTAGAAGCCCAGCGGTCAGAGGGCAAGTCACTCCCTTCTTCTCCCAGGTAATACCAGCAATGTTGGCATCTCCAAAGCCAAAAAGCCACGCTCACTGCCATTGAGTCGATGCTGGTGACATGTGCTGGGCTACGACTGCAAAGTCAGCGATTCAAAACCACCAGCCACTCGGCAGGAGAGAGCTGAGGCTTTCTGCTTCCGGAACGATTCCCGTCTCTTCTCAGAAAGCCACAGAGGTGGTTCTAACCGCTCCTGTGTGCTCACTAGGAGCTGGAATCCGCTCGCTAGCCATGAGTTTGGACTTGGTTTTGGAAGAAATCATCTCTCATGCCCTTTTCCCTCTTTCCAGTTCTCCGTCTTCACCAGCCTCCAGAACTTCCCAGTGGAAACCTCCCGACGCGGACGATGAAACCATAGCCAGAAGCCTCCCAGGAGTGCAGGAGGGGATTCAGATTCTGGGAAGCCTTTCGGCGTCCAGCCGAGCTAGGACCAAGGCTAAAGATGAGGATTCTGATAAAATCCTGCGCCAGTTATTGGGAAAAGAAATCTCAGAGAATGTCTGTACCCAAGAAAAGCTGTCCTTGAAATTCCAGGACGCTCAGGCATGCTCTAGAAATGCCAAAAAGACTCCCCCCGAGAAGAGAGAACTGAAGTTAGCCAGGCTGCGGCAGTTAATGCAGAGGTCGCTCAGCGAGTCTGACACGGACTCGAACCATTCTGAGGACCCCAAGACCACACCTGTGAGAAAGGTTGACAGGCCCCGGCCGCAGCCCCTTGTGGAGAGTGTGGACGGTGCAGAAAGCTTACACCTGATGATCAAAAAGCACACCTTGGCTTCAGGACGCAGGTTTCCTTTCAGCATCAAGACTTCCAAATCTCTGGATGGCCATAGCCCTTCTCCCACCTCAGAGAGCAGTGAGCCAGACTTGGAAACCCAATACCCAGGCTCTGGGAATACTGATCCAAACCAGTCGCTTGGAGACCCCACCCAGCCCAGCTCTGACAGCACAGCTGCACAGAAAGCTGCCCCAAGCCCCAAGAGCGCCCTCAAGTCTCCATCTTCCAAGCGCCGCACATCTCAGAACTTGAAACTCAGAGTTACCTTTGAGGAGCCTGTGGTGCAGATGGAGCAACCCAACCTTGAACTTCATGGGGAAAAGGACAAAGACAGGGGCAGGACGCCCCAGCGGACCTCCACCAACAGTGAATCGGGGGATCGATTGAAAAGGCCTTTTGGGACCTTCCGATCCATCATGGAAACACTCAGTGGCAACCAGAACAATAACAACAACTATCAGGCGCTCAGCCAGCTGAAGCTCTCCACGCCGCCCTTGACCTCACTTGGAAAGAAGACAGCAGATGCCAAGGGAGGTTCCCTGAGCTTGTCTAGCAAAGGAAAGAATAAGGCAGTGAGTACCACGTGGACACTCTCTTTTTTCATTGCTTCAGATGTATTCTGCTCTAGTTTCTAGCCCTTGACATTGTTATAGAAATCCCCAGAAAACTCCAAAGGGAGGCCTGGGAAGCCAAATGCACATTTCTAATGAGATGCGTCATGGTAGAGTGCATACCTTTTGTTCTTCTTTTGACAAATGCTTTAGTAGAGAAACTTGTTCATGAGAGATGAGACTCTGGCTCCTCAATTTATCTGACTGGCTTGATTCCCCAGTAGTAGAGATTCTGGAGAAGGAGGCATTTCTGCGGTCCTTATGAGAAGGAACCTTCTCTGGCACCCACACTGCCTCAAGAGGAGTTTATTCTCTTCGTGTGATTGAATCATTTATTCTTATGCCCAGTTAAAAAGCATGTAAATAGAAACGCCATTTCCAAATCATAACCACTCCACTTCAAAATGACCTTTGAGTGAATATGCCACAGAGACCTCCACATTGGTATTTTCAAAGTCAGCCTTCCAAGTGTTGATCAAAAAACTATAGAAGTCTGAAGTGCTTGCCAAAACGCAGGGAAGGGCAGCGGGTGCTGTGAGCTGCATTTCATACTTGCATTTATTGGAAGCTCGTGCACTAGAATCTATGGCCTACATCCAGCGAATGAGAACCACGAACAGCTTTTCAGGCAAAGTTTCCTGCTTGTGCTGTGCTTGCCCTGCCATCAAAAGCCAGGATAGCAGCCAAAATGGGAAACTCTCTATGTGGAATGGAGTGACCCAGAATAGCCACTGGGCAATCTAGTTAAACTGCCGAGTGGAGACACAGGACTCACATGCTTATTATTTGCTATAAGGTTAAAATCCCCTTAGAGGAGGTATAAAGACTTTCCGTTATACCAAATTCAACTTTCAATTCATGTCACCCTCATCCATTGCACACCAATTTTTTTTTACCATGCACCGCTATGTCTGCCATTATTTGTCCTGTTACCAGGAACATTAGTGTATGCTTTGTTTCTGCTAGAAATGTCACACTTGTTCCCAGAATAGCATAGGTTAAATAGACCAAAACGTATGTTTGCCGAATAAAATGTTTCCAAGTAACTGAACGGTTTTTCTCAGTAGTAAAACTCAAAGGGGCGCAATCATTTCCTGTGCCCCTAATGGCCTGGAGTAAGCTGGTGTCCTCGAAGCTGCCTCCTGCATGGCATGCTCCGTGGGTACTGAGAGCCGTGCCTGTGAGGAGCTGATTGCTTGATCTCAGATGATCTGAAACTGCACCTGTGGGGCACTGACAGCAGCGGCATCAGTCTGTCCTCGAGCACGCTGATTGGAGAGGCAGCTGCGTAACAGTGCAGGGTATGGGTATGTGGTGCTAGGGGGTGGGATGTCACGCTTTGCCATGTGCTTTGCTTGGAATGGCGTGCACTTTTAAATCATGCCTTACATCCAAGTTATGGGCATTTGATTGGGGGTTGGCATGAAGAAAGCAGAATACATCTCTTCCCCCAAACAGCAGCAGGTGCAGACTATTAACTAGGTCACAGGAAGGTAGCAAGTGCCGCATTGGTGTGTGTGTGTGTGTGTGTGTGTGTGTGTGTGTGTGTGTGTGTGGTGGGGGGCCTTCATCCAGCACCAGAGGGTAGAAGAACCGACTAAGTTCACAGACTCCCTATGACCCCTGTTGACTTTGGCTTTCAGCCTTTGTTGTCATGAAGTCAAGTACCAAGCAAGTATCGAAATTAAATTTCCTGTCACATGTGGAATGCGTCAAGCTCAGATCAGAATCGGAACTTTGAACCAGAGCTGGGTTTTATTTCGTTGCTGAATATAGGATAAAAACTCCTGTTGCGACCACCTGCTGACCATGGGAAAAGCCAGGCCTGGTCAGTTGGAAATGTCTCTAGCGATATGAAGCCCATAGTACCAGTCAATGTGAGTGTTCAGCAGCAAAGCAAGGGATTTTCTAAGACAAGATGTTTACCATTCAAAATGCATGGGCCATAGACAAGAAAGAGAGAGGGTTGGTTTGGGAGGTCTCTAATGGCTGGGGAATCTCTTTGAACAAAGTCCTCTAACAGCATAGTTCTCTTCAGAGAATATGTCCAGTTCTCCGGCAGTGCAGGAAACAGGGAGCAGTGAAATGGAAGGAGCAGAGGGAGAGTCAGCGTCACTTGACAGACTTGATGTTAGAAAAGTTAAGCACCCAAGTGTATCTTACAAACTCTCGCTTTGAAATACTTTTCAAAAGAATGGCATGCCACTTCAGTACTCTTTTCTTCCACATTCTTCAAAGAATGTGGATGTCTGTGTGGGAGTATAGGTGTTATGAGTAGGAATCTTAGTCCACAACACTGTGGTGCTGAGAAAGTCAATCTCCACCCCGACTCCCCTCTGATCAAATTGAATCTGTTCCAGGAAATTAAATCCTGCTCATTTAAGGATGTCCCGCAGGAGCTCATTAACCCAGTATTTTGAAAGAAGAGCCGGGAAGAGTCCTTCTTTTCTGACCACCAGTGATCTGCTTGGGGCAGGCTCTCTGTTGCCTGAAAGCATGCATCCGGGCTGCTTCCAACAACACTTGGGCAAGGAATTTGGGTGAGGGCTGAGATTCTTACTTCTTGGGTATGAAAGGAATAAGAAAGAAGTCCCACTTCCTTTGCCAGACTTTGGGATGGGACCTCTTCTTTTATCCCCAACCTAGAATTCCCCCTCTACCCCATGCTCCGCCTCCATCTTTGATTGGGCATATTTTCCAGCACCTGGAAAATTCTTCTTTTTTCCCAAAACAGAAGCCACTAGAAAATCTAGAGGCAAGGAGACTCAAAAGACTTGGCAAACTCTCTGGGAAGGGAAAGAGAATACTTCTCCTTTCTTCCAGGGTCCTGCAGGAACTAGAGAACAGATAGTCAACCCAGTAGATTCCTGTCAGAAATAGTCCAAACTTTACAAGCCAGGGAACAAAACTGAACATCTACGGTATTACGATTACAGAAATCTGAATTCAAAATGAGACTGTGGACCTCCTTAGCTATCTGCTAAGAGGTTGCACTTTCCTGAATCAACTTAATCTTTCTGGAGGCTCAGTCTTAGAACTTAGCAGATGTAATAGTTTGATTGCAGCAATAACTGCTTTAAAGACCCAAATTAGTCAGTGTATTTAAATAAGCATCATCATACTTCCCCTTCCCTAAATGGTCTGACTCCGGTGGCCCTGTGTGCAGTACAATAACACCCTGTCCTCTTCTGTCCCAGCTTCAGCATATTTGGTGTGCAGCCACTGCGTTATTTTGAGACCTTTGCGACCTTAAAGGCTCCTCTTCTAGCACTATACAGCACGATATTCAGTTATGATCCAAAGATCTTTGTTGGCTCATTTTGAGAATTCAACTGTAAAATCTTCCTACCTACTGCTGGAAGTTCTGCTGCAGGCTGTTCACCATCGAGTATACCTGGTGGTAACAAAAGAGTCACCACATTTATCATATCGTATCACATCACATCATATAATAAATCAGTTAGCAACACACAAGCCACTCTGCATGGTACACTGGCAGCTGACGGGTGGACCCCCTGCTTTCAGGGTTTTCATTTGGCAAGTTCTCTCTCTTGATTCTTTCCCACTAGGGAAGACTCAGGGGGTTTCATAGCTGTACTGTAATCCTGAGATGTAGCCGATGTTTGATTCACTCATAATCATACAAAAGGAGAGAGAACTTGGCTTGGCTCACTCATTCAGTAGAGCAAAGATGGGGCTTTCGAGCAGAAATAAGTGTTCCTCATAGAAATGAAGACTAGAGCAGGAATATGAACAGAAAGAACATCCAGTTTACTGTAGTACCTGCTTCGTTTTGCCTGTGAGCTCCCACTGCAAGGAAAGAACCTAAGTGTTCATCTCTGAGTGAGCCCTTCAAATCTTGCCCCAAGAACTTGCTTGAAGTCCAAACGACTCCTGTCAGATAGCAGAGATTCCCCATAACATTGGGGCAGTGGCAAGCCATCTTCTGGGTTGGATACCCCAGATATCACAGCCACTGAATGGCCCGATATCAGTAGAGCTCTGGGGAAAAGTGGGGTAACAGACACTAGATCCAGGGAGATACTAGACAGTGGTTCTCAACCTGTGGGTCGCGACCCCTTTGGGGAGCCAGACGATCCTTTCACAGGAGTTGCCCTATTCATAACAGTAGCAAAATTGCAGTTATGAAGTAGCAACGAAAATGATTTTATGCTCGGGGGTCACCACAACATGAGGAACTGTATTGAAGGGCCACGGCATTAGGAAGGTTGAGAACCACTGCACTCCATCCTCATTTTAGTGCCCGATAATTTATTTCCCTATAAAGGAGAAAATAAGCCCCAACACTGCTGCCCTGTCTTTGATTCTGACTCATAGTTCTCCTGTAGGAAAAACAGGGCCAATGAAGATCACACTTAAAGAATGTCAGCCCTGTCAAGAGGTTCTGTTTGCTATTTACTTTTCTAAATTGGTCACCGCTTGAGAGCAAAGAAACTAAATTTCTTTCCAATGCCCTTTTAAAATTAGGTCCAACTCTATTATTTCAGCAGCCTTCCCAGTGTGCTTCAACTGCAGAGGATGACTTTGTTTATAGCAAGTAGATTTATCCTCCCTCTTTTTCTTGTAAAAGACAAGTTGGTGCTGAGTTATTACAACTCCAAGAGAATGTTCGCAATTTCTTGTCTTTAAGTGCCAAGGAAATAGTCACTTCCCACCATTTCAGTCTGTCTGAGATCTGTAGCACACAGAGTCCATGTTAACCCCAGTCACTGACAAGCGGAGAACATGAGCCTCCCTGGTCACCACGCCATGTCCTGCCTAACCACATGGCACCACTGCCCGAAGGGTTAGGATCAGGAAACCACTGATCCCAGCACTAGCATTACAGTAGACTCGTTACAAAAACAAAAGTTTTACACCCAGAAAAATGATGGTTACCACAGAAGCGAGGAGTAAGAAGGGAAAATCACTAACTAGACAGCAGGCACATGTTAATTCGG